TGTTTTCTCTTTTTTTCAGTACTGAGGATTGAACACCCAGTGTTGCATGTGCTAGTCATGTGGTCTATAATAAAGCTATGTTCCCACCCCATTTTATTTTTAGACAATGTCTTGCTAAGACACACTGGCTGGCCTCAAACTTGTGATCCTCCTACTTGAGCCTCTTAAATGGCTGGGACAATATAGATATGGCCCACCACAAGTATCAAATGAATGCTTTCCTGGTTTACTCAATGAGGTATAGTTTACCACCATAATTCATTTGGATTCTTTTGACATGGTGCTTCCATTCTTTGAAGACCTCTTGCTTTCTGATTCAACAACAAGAGTAGCAGGCTCATCTTGTATTTTTTTTTTCTATCCCAGTTTGAAATTAGCCTTTTCTCCAAGGAATACTGGTGTTTCTTAGGAGGCAGGACAGAAGCACACATGTGCTCACTATGGTAATATTGCTGCTTCCAGGTACTCTCAGGAGACAGAGTTAGAAAAGACACACACACTCACACACACACACTCACACTCACACACACTCTAGAGGTAACAAATACAAACATTTTACATCTACATTCAATCATCTGAAAATCATGCACTTACACAGATACTTTTCTTTTTTTTTTTTTTTGCATCCGGTTGTGGGGCCTGAACTCTGGGCCTGGGCGCTGTCCCTCAGCTCTTCAGCTCAAGGCTAGCGCTCTACCACTTGAGCCACAGCGCCACTTCCAGCCTTTTTCTTTTTGCTTACGTGGTGCTGAGGAATCGAACCCAGGGCCTCATGCATGCAAGGCAAGCGCTCTACCACTGAGCCACCTTCCCAGCCCACACAGATACTTTTCATTCCAACCAACTTCACAGGGTTTTTTCTATTTTTCCCCTCATACTTCTGTCTTCAGTGAGAAACCCCATTTCCATTATCCATAACAGATTTAGTTATTTGGCTGATTACCCACAAGTAAGCTACTGCCCACTACAGCCCTTGATACCTGCTTCTTCTGAGGATGCTCTGTTCACTTCCCTTGGGATCTGATTCTCAGCCCTGCTCCATCTTTCCATCCTCTTTCCATGCCTTCACCCTGCCTGTGCCAATTCTCACTGCCAGGTGGGTCCTTCACATATGGACATATTCTTCCTTCTGTTTAGAACCTAATAGCCCGTAAGAAATTACACTCCATGGGTTGGGAAGGTGGCTTAGTGGTAGTGTGCTTGCCTGGCATACATGAAACCCCGGGTTCAATTCCTCAGTACCACATACACAGAAAAAGCCAGAAGTGGAGCTGTGGCTCAAGTGGTAGAGTGCTAGCCTTGAGCATAGAGAGGGTCAGGGACAGTGCCCAGGCCCTGAGTTCAAGCCCCAGGACTGGCAAAAAGAGGAGGAGGAGGAGGAG